ATTCCTTTTTTACACTCTGCCAACTCGGTTTCCAGCTCATTTATCCTTCTCCTGCTCTCATTCTTGACACTCTGCAATTCTGCATCTTTCTCCCAGATTTCTGTTTCTACTCCTACCTTGTCTTGAGCATTTTCTTTGTTCAAGTCTACAAAACGCTCTGCCTGATAAAGTTCGCATTCTTTCTTGGACAAAACTGCGATCTCTTCTTCAAGAGCTTTCTTGCCACTCTTCAATTCCGCTATCGTCTTTAAATTCTCCTCTTGAATGTTCTTCAGTTCCGTCTCCTTTTCTGTAACTTGTTTCCTTACGTCGTCCAATGCAGCCATTTTATCACAAATATCTTTCTTAGCGTTATCCAATTCTGTCACCGTTTTGCCAAACTCCTTCTTCATCAATTCAAGTCGAGATTCTTTTTCTTTGCACTCGCCTTTGATAGTTTCCACTTCAGCTTTGGCATCACGAATCTCTTGAGTAGCTGCCTCAAGTTTCTTCGTCAAAGCAGCCATCTTGGTGGCCTTTTCAGAAATAACGTTGTCTGTCTCCTTGGCCAGGGCGTTTCTCTTTGCTTGTGAATCCTCAATAACCTGATTTAGTGACGAGATCTCCTTCTCCAGCTCTTTACAGCGTTGCTCTCCTTTCTGAAGCTCGTCTTTTATTCTTATTAGTTCTTCATCGTTGTCAAATGCTTGAGCTACATAACTCCTCTCACGGGCTAATTCTTCTCTTGTCTCCTCCAATGTCATAACCAATTCTTTCATCATTGTGTTTTTTGTCTCTAACTGATGCTCTGTGTCTGTAAGTTTGGCCAAGGCAGCGTTCAGGGCACCTTGCGTCCCCAAAAGGTCAGAGGAATTTTCCGTCTTTATAGGCGCTGCGTTCCCTTTCTCAAACTCATTCGTGAGATGTTGTAGGGTTGCGTCCTGTATGCGGTGAGAACAAAACACAGGGGAGTTAGTCTGACTATCTCAAACGATTCAAGTCGTACACGCAGCTCGCCTGAGAAAACGGAAAGTGTGGGATATTTGAGCTTCGATAGCCTTTATGAACTTCGGCGTCAATGTAATGAACTTTACGTGTTTTCAGCCATTTTGAATACTGACGCGCGGTCGACTTTTAAGAAAATAAGTATCAAAATATACGTACAAAAAAATTATTAAACGAAGATAGAAAGTCATGGACTTTGCCTGAGTACCAAGGAGAGTCAATAAACTAGTACAGAACCAAATGCCTTCCATCTTTCACCGCAATTTAGTGTTAGGCTATCAAGGGACGTTGAGTTAAGAAGTCGTCAATTAAATTGTTAGCGAGCTCATATGTCTGGTCGTGTTTCGTATCATCCCTCAGTGTAGCTGTCACATTGTCACGGACGTTTGCTTCAAACTATCTGATGGACAAGTATTACAACTAAGTTTGGCCAGTTTTCTTCAGTTGTCAAGTGGGCCGAATGNCTGTTTTTTAATGCAAGCTTCCTGTTCATCAAGTGCTGCTTTCAGTTTACTTATCTCGGCTTCTTTCTCCGAGAATGCTTCGCCAGCCTCTTCAAGCATCTGTTTAAGTTCTGCGGCTTCCTCGTTAGCGTGATTCAAATGAGCCTGCAGTTCCAAAACTGCCTCTGAGGTCGCTGCCTGTTCTTGTTTGTTTTCTTTTAGTTGTTTGATTTCGTGGCGCAACTCAGCAATCTGTGCATTCAGTCCACCTACGAGTCGTTGTTGCTCCTGAAAAACAAATAGCAGATTTCTTGATTACGGATCAAAATAGTGAAAAAGAACTACGACTTAAATCAATTACAAATATTTTGCCATAAGGATGCTGACCCAATAGGCCATCGAAATATTTGTGGAGGTGAGATGGAAAAGCGATCAGTGGTGCGTTGAACGTCTGAAGTAGAGGTCTGGACGCGAGCCTGTGTTGCGGTCTTGGGATGGACACAACACCTCTCTCCACTCAGGAGCTGCGAACTTTCAAGGGAGCTTGACGAAATATAAGGGGAGGGGTGAGGGGTAACCTACGATGAACTAGCGTCCCATCCAGGCAGAGAGCATGAGGCGGAGAAGCTGTTGTATGCTTCTCTCCATCCAGGAGTATAAATGGGATCTGAGGAAATGGTAAGGAAATCTAATAAAACGGTGCGGGTTAGTGGTGATGCGAAAAGAAAAAGAAAACAAAACAAAAACCCCTCCCGTCTGGGCAGAGTAGCAAAGCTGGTTGTGTCGTGCTACATGAACTGAAAGAGAACAACTTTACTACACAAACACATAATCATTCTGTCACCATGGTATATAGCTATTTCACCAACTTACTCACCCGCACTTTAGTCTGCTCTGCATGTAAAAACACACTTGGCACCCATTCCTCATCGTCTTCTTCTGCTCTTTCGATCCGGGCCCTTTTTCTAGACTTCTTGACCGACTGCGTGAGCAGTTCGATCCTGCGATCACACTTTTCCTCTACAGCGTTTACCTCCATTTTAACACGTTGACTGAAATTTGAGAACAAATTGCGCAGTTTCCACTCTGTTCTGTTATTGGGACACCTTTCATAACTAACTGAAAGTTAACACACAGCTCAGCTGAAAGACACATTCGAATTTCACTTCTATATGTTCAAGTACGTCACGTCTTGCAAATATGCGCGCTTTACAGGTTCGGCTGATACAAGGGAGACTGATATTAACACATTTTCATTCTTTGTTACCTGTAGGCTTCCTCGATGGAAACAAGCTGTTCAGCCATTTCCTTGCAAACTTCTTCTCGTATCTTTATTTCCAGAGTCTGCATCTTGCGTTTCTCTTCAATAAGTTGTTCTTGGAGAACTTTAACTAAGTCCACAAGTTGCTAAATGTGACAAAATTGATACGAAAGTAAGATCATATGCCAGCATAACAGACTCAAACCCCATCTGATGTTAAACAACACCCTTCTTTTTCACTGACTAGTTTTTTACTTAATGATTTTGTGCCCTCTGGCAGCTTGACATCAGTAATTAGAGTAACCTCAAGGAGTAAAAAAAGTGTTAAGAGACTAAGCCTAGAGGACTTGTCA